ACGGACAGACGGACAGACGGACAGACAGACGGACAGGGGCAAATCGACTCAGCTCGTCACCCTGATCAAGAATATATATACTTTGTGGGGTCTGCCACGCCTCCTTCTGCCTGTTACATACTTTTAACAAAACCATTATACCCTGATTTCCCATTTTCAATGGGTTCAGGGTATAATTAAACGAATAATATTATGAATTATTAATACTATTCTAAAGTACTGATAGGTCATTAAGAAAGCCTTGAGAGATAATGAACAATAAATTGCAAAAATGAGACTTCTATGTTAATAGACTTTAAAAGGTATATATAAATATGGTTGACAAATTTTAAGTATAATTATAATAGATATAAAAGTTAACTAAAAAATTTGCTGGATCTCAAATTCCTGCATCACTTTACATGTATCAAATGGGCATTAGGTATGATTTCTCAAAGATGAGCAACGAATTTATTTATGGGACAGGTAATGGGAGAACTCGATACAATTTAAAAATGCATTATCATACAATAACTATATGATAAGATGCAATTGAGCAAATTAATTTTGTATTTTTTAGTAATAGACTGATTAGAGCCGTTCCACAATAATGCTGTTCAAAATAATATCTTTTATTCACATATTTTACATATACACATTACCTAATTATAATCATATATACAATAGAAAAATGCAAGTGCGAATTCTAGGTTTAATATATAAATAATACAAGATATATCAATTTATATGATAGAGGAATGTATATTAAATAAATGAAAGATATTAGTAGACGGACCAATATATTGTATGTAGATACAATAGTAATTTAGATCTTATTCAGATCATTATCAAACATACTTAATGCATTCATTTAAGTTCATTCTCACAGCAAACATTTCAATATCTTGCTAAGCGTTAAATTCAAGGAGCCAAAAATGATATGTTAAGTATGATTTCTGCTTATATAAAGATAAGAACGAATTGGCATGAGTTGCAGCTGCTCAAGGAAAACGAAAGCTCAAGAGAATTGTTTCTGTTTCTATTTATTTATTTTTTTTTTGTATTTGAGGGTTCCTTCAGGCGTGATAAAAACTAGAATTAAATTTACAAGCGTCAGTTGCAGAGTTTTTTGTCAACAGGATATTTTCTAGCAAACAGTTGCGCCCCATTTCGGTGGGGCAGCTCCCTGGAGCATGGATTGATGACAGGCATTTGTTGTGACAAGCATTAACTAGCAGTTTCACACACGCTCAAACACACCCCTCAGCGATCTCCTACGACACAATTAGCACCCCCCTCTCTCTCAACAAGCAGAAACAAATTGCCGCCAACTAAAAACCAAACAACTAGGCTCCCAGAGGGAATACACGGGCCCCCGCCCCACTTCCTCCGCTCATCATTCCGTATGTGGGAAATATTAATAAAAATAATGAAGTGCAGTAAACAATAATTTTGTTGGTTATAAATATATGTATTGGATTTTTGGTAAGTATATAGCTTTACTTCCCACAGGTTTTGTATTACGGACCAAAAACGTTCTGCACCTTCTGCGTAATTGAAGCAAACTTTTCGAACAAACTGTGGAGGCGGCAAGGGGCATAGGGATCGAGCATTGGGTACAGAGTGTAGAGTGTAGGGAGAACGCCGGCCATGTTTGAATACGAGTCGCCAACATGTTTACATAAAATGGACTTGGTTTACAATTTGACTAAAAAAAGAGCTCCTCAAACGAAAAGCACAATTTATGCTGATTTCGACAAAAAGCAAATTTAATAAAGAATAAAGCAGGGAATACGAATGTTAACTACTCTGCAGATATACCCAGGTAAATATATAGGTTAAGCGACATTGTATACAAACAGAGAGCAAAGTAATTAAAAGACAAGAAATTTTCTACAAATCGTAGTGCAAATTGATTACTTACTTAGTGGATAAATTTCTACATTATATGTCATATATACATGCATATAAATGTCATACATTACACTATTAGATCTTTCATTTCATTTGTCTTTTCATTTGTCTTGAAAATTCACAAATTTTCATTGTAGCAATTGCTTGAATAGAAACAGCTATAAAACGAGCTGCTTATCTTAATTTTGATAATAATTGACTATTAAATAGGCCTAATGCCACATGTTTATATTATATGACTATACAATATATTGATAAGGTGTTAGATATATGACCAAGCTAGTAAAACTAAGAATAGTTCTCAAAGTGGCGTTTCATGCAAGCAAATAAGAATGTGTGATTTTCTATGCGTATTTACATATACATATGTATGTATGATATATAGTTGTTCCATAATTTAAATTATATTTTCTAATTACTGCCTTTCAACCTAGCGTAATATTATTTACTTTATTCCAATCAACTATGTTTTCAGGACATGTGAAATAGTTTTGATTAATTACAGATTTTATTTTATTTTATCTATATCTATGTTATTACATATATGTATATATTATAAGGCTACACTTATCAATAATTTGAGATCTCAGATAATTAATTTAGATATTCAATTTGACAGAATTTGAACATATAAGACTTAAATATTATACATATATTTTCTATATCACTACTTACAAGATGATTACATAATAAGAAATTATAGATAGAGATGATTCCAATTACTTCATTCTAGACGCACATAGCTCGACACAGTCGTAATACCCTTTCTAAGGGTATTGAAGAAAAGAGATAGCTAGAGGTTGCACGGAATGTGCACTGTTTGCTAATTATTGTAATTGGATCACCTGCTGGGGGTTTTAGTCCTCAGCATAGGGGGCATAGCTGGTGATCTGGCGTGCCACAATGTTGAGTATTTCACGGGCGGGCATCTCCTGCTGTTCCCTGATGATGGCCGTGATGCGCGCACACTCCTTCACATAGTTCTCCAGCTCGCGCTGATTGGGCGCTCGCCGAGCCGGCTCTTTGGAGCGCAGCGCCTGCAAGCATTGCCCAGTTATCTGAGCTAGCTGCGAGCGAGCCGGACTGAAGGTCTCGTCCAGGTCGAACAGCTCGAGCGGCGGCGCCGGCGGCTCACTGAAAATTGGCGGAAACGTGGCCAATTGCAGCGGAGGCAACGGTATTTCGAATTGCGGCTTAATTATGCGCAGCGGCTCATAGTTCACATGCAGCTGCGTGTAGGTGTCGATCACATCCTTCAACAACCGATTACTCAGCGAGCAGAGCGACATGTCGAACATTTGCTTAAAGTCCGAGGGCATCTCCGTGCCAATGGAGTCAATCAAACAGGCCTTGGGCATATCGGCCAGAAAGGCCAGGTCCGTGAAGTGTTTGTTGTCGTTTAGCTGTGGGAACAGCGAACGGAAAAGATTAATGTAAAACAGAAATCTAATACCCAAAGATAGCTTTCATATATATATGAATATAGAGGATTATCAGCAACACCCATAGCTGATCATTATATGTATATAATACTTATATACATATCCATCTCCAGCCGGATGCATAAGAAATACTAACCTCCACATCATTGAAGTCCAAGTGCGTGTAGTTTATCTCATCGGTGCCCAGTAGCTGGAGCATATACTCCAGCATGGCATCGTTCGTTTTGTCCTGCAGGTACTTGTCGTGCCATATGTATCCGGAGCCCAGGGCCAATATCTTGCCACCTTTGGCATTGCTATAGTAGCCAGCCAAGGGACGATTGAAGGGATAGACGACAGGTCCCGTGGTCAACAGCACGTTGGCTGGCTCCGAGACATTTAGAGTAGCACCGTAGGGATATTGAAAGTGTATCTTGTACTTCTCATCGCTGAAGTCGTAGTCCACCTTCTCGATGTCCCGTTTGAGCAGCTGTCGCCACATGGACTCGCAGACGACGCCGCCGCCCACGATGCACTCCTTGGGATGGAAATTTTTGTAGTAATGCGGACGCACCACGTTATCGCTGTTGATGTAGATGCCGTACTGTTCCAAGAAGAAGTTGACATTCGTATTGAACTCCTGTTCGCCTCCTTCGCCGAGCAGCACCAACAAGCTGCCGCCCGATTGCTCCACATAATCCTTGAGAACCTCGAACTCCTCCTCGGTGAAGCGGTCCTGTGGTCCAGCCAATACGAAAATCTTAGTGCGTGCCAAGCACTCATTGTTTAGCTCAACTTCGTTTCTATGAATCAAATATAATGTAATACAATAAGTTATATCAATCTAAATCAGATTCTAAATCTAATCAGATTCATTCCACCTACTGTTCTACGTTCCAGTTGGCCTTTAGCTTGCGATGCAACATTTTGTAATTGTCCGTTATTTGAAAACGTTCATTTTTAGATATATCAAAACAAATTGTAGGTTTTTGAGACATTTTTAGAGCTTTTTAATAAAATAAAATTTTCATTAAATGTTATTCAGTTTTTGGTTGCTAAGCAATATCCGGCAAAACAATTCCAAGAACCGCACAGCTGTTAGCTACAATATTATAGCGTAGTGAGCGGATTACTTAAATAATATATTAGATATTGAAATATCCAAATATCCAACAAGTCGCCTTTGCATACACATTAATCACAGATATAATAAATTTTTAGCATATAAATTTTTTTTCAATAAACCGCTCTTGTGAGCCACTTTGGCGGCATAGCCCTTTTATCGAAACATCTGGCAGCACTGCTGCTGCGCATCTGTGCGCACGATTGCGCAACACCAGTTCGATAGTGTACCGAAATCGACTCCATCATCGAACCAGTTGCGAACCACCGTATACCACTCACTAATCAACACCTGCCCTGAGTCTCGCTGTGAAAAATTACGAAAGAATTCGGTTGTTCAACGCTTTCCAAGATCAACAAATCTTTGCTTAACGAACAATAATGGCATCAATTTGTGGACGCATGGCGCTTCGTGCCGCCGCACGCCAAAATGTGACATACAACTCCGTGCGTACCTGCAAAAGTAAGTAATAAAAACGCGCAATTCAGCCATCACGTTCGCCCTGTCCGTGTGGCAAGGGAAACGCTACCAAGGCAGCGCCTCCATCATCCATATTACATAATAGAAATCTAAATCAAAGGCGATGCAGAGCCTGCTGTGAGTGCAACAAGGTTTTATCTACATTTCTAATGACCAACAAATGTGTCACTATATGCTGGAGGTTATGTAATAGCTGCGTCCGTTATTTGCTTCTGCATTCTATGCCAATTCAAAGAAAAACGCAAAAATCATAATTCGCACCTTGCTTCGTTATCGCTAGTATACTAATACATTAATAATTGGCAGTAGTGTATTTGTGCGTGTTAATGTCGAAGGAGTTAAGCCTTTTATATAATCAATGTGCACAGACAGCTGATTCAGCAAGCGGTTAATGTAACCAGGGGCGGAGTGAAGGGGTTTATAGTGAAAAGCGCTGAGTGACCGAAGACAAACTATCCTCTCTGATATGAGCGTCATATGCAGAAAGTGCTACAGTGAAAATGCCGTTTGCATCATAACGAGAAAAGTGACCGAAGCTAAGATACCCTATTTTATATATAATATCAGATGTAAGGTAGTATCTGCTTACAGAGGGTATGCATACGTGAGTGAAAGGACTGTTAGTGATCAAAGATTTGGTACTCAGCAACCAAATATTCAGTGATAACTGACTACAATAAATTGCGGGCTCGGCTTATGATAAACTCAACTAACTGCTTCTCCTTTTTCCGTAGTGATGAACGACCCGTTGGAGCACGCCACGGGTATCGAGAAACGTGAACTGCTGCTGAAGGCGGCCGGCAACGATAATCCTTTCGACATGAAGGTGTTCAAGCGCGGTGCTGGCACTAAGGAGAACCCCAACCTGATTCCATCGGCCTTCGATGCCCGCATTGTTGGCTGCATCTGTGAGTAGACTTCACACATTAGCTGGTGAAAATAATCTAGTCTCTCATGAACTTTCAGGCGAAGAGGATCAAACCTATGTGCAGTGGATGTGGCTGCAGAAGGGCAACCAGAAACGTTGTGAGTGCGGCCACTGGTTCAAATTGGTTGAGAAGGCAGCTGTTTAAAGTTATTATTAATTAATTAAATAAACCAATTAATAACAAAAACAAACACACACATAAAAACAACTATTAAGCTAAAAGTCAACATAATAGCTTTCCAAATAAAAACAAACATCAATCCAAATAACCAAAATTGAAACAAAAACCGAAACCAAATGCAAAATGCATATGCACCGCGTCTGGATGAAGCTTTTATTTACGTTTTGGCTGGACACGCTGATTGCAACGAGACACGTGTAAAAACGTTTAAATAAACTACATTTAAACAAATGTTTAACCTAGCAAATACTTTAAAGAGGCCTCCAACTGTGGATCGTGTCTCTTTGAGAATTGAATTTTTCGGAATGGCGTATTACTATACTAGAATAAGTAAATCTCAAATGTATAGTTTTATAGTCCGTAAGGCTGGCAGTCACTTAGCTGCATTTCTTAAAACCCTTGACAAATGTAATTAGATCTGAACGATATCGAAGTAGGCCAACAACTTTTCTATATTCTTGTCAACATTCTCCGCTGCTAGTTCATTCAATATTTACTTCGTCGGGAAGTGAATGTTACATTGAGCTACAATCGTATATATACAATTCATTTTCATAAAACGTAAACAAAAATTATAAAAATACACATAAATATACATGTGTATATAGAAACACATACATATACCATATAGATAAGTATAGTTAGCTAGGATGTCGTCTTTTATCTCGCGCCTTCTCAAGTCTCCACTCGCTTCAAAGCGTCTCGTATCGCAGCTCACGCAACGCGGCGAACGGAAGCTGGGGGCGCTACTGCGTGAGCTCGGCTTGCAGCGTGTGCTAGGAGCTCTTAGAATCAAGGAGTTCGTGGGCGTGGCTAATCGTGGCATTGCCACTACGCCAGTCAGTAACAAGCGTAAGTAGGGTGGGTGTGATGCTGCAGCTAGTCTTAATCGGTCCTCTCACTTGGCGCAGAGCTGACGGATGACCTGGAGCTGGCCACGGGCATCTTTAAGCGGGAACTGATGCTACGTAAGGCCGGCTGCACCGATCCGTGGTCTATGAAGAAGCCTATGAAGCGCGGCGCCGGCAGGGAGAACGATCCCACGGAGGTGCCATCCGCCTTCGATGGCCGCATTGTCGGCTGCATCTGCCTTGGAGATCGCTCAGCGAAGTGGATGTGGCTGGAGAAGGGCGCTCCCAAGCGCTGCGAGTGTGGACATTATTTTGTGCTCAAGAATGTGCCCGCTGTTTGAAACATTATTTATTTGTTTATCACGAATAATCTAAATGGGGCGCTGTATCTACTCACACACGCGGATCTGCTCATATGTATCTGCACACACACACACAATAACGTCCATGGACACACCTCCACATGCTTGCACTGGGACACCTTGACATACACATTCCAATACTAGAACAATTAGAAATATTGAACTGATCTACTAAAACCCAAACTCGAAAGGTATTCATAGAACATTGCATGATATTATCAGAAATTAAAAAACACAAAAAACACAAAAATCTGAATTCTAGCGATGAATGAATAGATATAATTGGCTTTAGTCTAGAAATAGATCAATGTTTACGTTTGTATCGGATCGACGATTTACTTCTACTATTACTAGCTGCTGCTTAGTGCACATTGCATTACATTGTATTCTAAAACTATTGATAGGGTATAAGAAACTTGTATTTCTTGAAAAAAAAAAAAATCTAGAAAAAAGCTAAATATAGTATGAGCGCTTTGTTGTTTACTTGGATTTAGGATTGATTCATTCACTTAGTCGTGACGGCCAAATATCGAAAATGATGCAGAAATCCTGGTATTAGTACATCAATGAAGCTTTCATCACAGAGATATAAGATTTTCATAAATGGCGAAATTCAAAATATATACGAATGAACAATAGGTAAAAAGAGAGACTATGGGCAGACTATGTGAAGCCGAAAAGAAGGAAAGAGCGAATGAAATGATGCATTCAATTGTTGTTCCAAAATAGCATTTTGCATTACGTTTTAGTCTTTATTTAGGAATGAGCTCATTCACAGTAAATCGAGAAAATAAAAAATATAGTCTAACAAGGAAAAACAACTTTAGAAAAATCAGTTTATGCTTATCAAATATAGAAAGGTGTGTTTATAATTTATTTTTATTGTTGCTAAATATATATATAGTGTTTCATTCGTAATTACTAAAGCAAGCTTAAGTTTGCAAAAAAAGAAAAAAAGATATATAACAGGTCAACGCCTCTGTGAACACAGTCTGGTGTTTGCAGTGAGTTGAACATCGGTGAGTATCGATTGTACGACTTATAACGCCGCTACCAACATCGCCTCTAGAAATTAGTTGGTAGTTTCAGTATGTGACTTAGCAACGGATGTTTAATCGGAGATATTAAGGAGCCTCGTCGATTTAAAGGAGAAACTCGATCTTCAAAAAATTCAAGTCTTTAGCTCCAGCTAGATTTATACGATCAATCAGTCAACCGTGGCTAAATTGACACCACTTGTCTTTGCTCAAGAATATATATGTCCACATACCTTGTGGGATTTACCACGCGTCCTGTTATAAATATTTTAAAACTGTATCATCGCAGCATTAAAGCCAAAACATTTCGCACTTGAGTAGCAAATTAAGATCCTTTTAAGGTAGACTCTCTCTGACTATTCTAGACTAGAATATTACTTGCTCATGTTAATAATTTTCTTTACATTCCTTTAGACAATAGAAAATGGAAAACATGTCAACATATTAAAATTATTTAATTACTGTTGAATATATAATCATTAAATTTTTGTTCTTATTTTATGAATAGCATTAAATAAAATGCTTATCAGATTGACTGATTTGAGCCAATTATGATATTATTGTAACTTACGCTGAATAATCTTATAGATACTCATTTATCTAAGGCAAACATAAGGATACGTTGTATAAAGAGTTTTTTGTGATTTGATTACCAACTACTTAACTAGTTTCTAAGTCCTCCTACTGGAGATGCATGTGATCCACTGTTATTTCAATGTGTAACCCGTCAAGAGATATCCACTGTTACCACTCATGTTGACCTCCGGATGGGTGCGGTTGGGCAGTATTTGATACGTGCGCATCCAGTTGGATGTTAGATGTAGATTTGTCACTTTGCCCGTTGTCTTCAGCTCCATGTATATTTCCTGGAGCAGCTCCTTGCACGTGCCGAAGATGACAACGGGTCGCGAGGGCTTTACCAGTGGCAACAATGCTTGCAATATATTCGAAGGATGCTCCTTCGCAGCCATTACAAGACTATCGAATTTCTCATTCATCAAAGCGGCAGCGCGCTTATTCTCCACCTGCCATCGTTGAGGTGGTTTATTGGCTTTGGAAAAGAAAGAGCGAGCAGAGATTAATGTGATTAAAACGAAGATTATTTTAGATTGAAGATTAGACAAGTGGTAACTCAGTTAGCTTACAGATTTAGGAGAACAGAAAGCATTCGATTAAAAAAGCAAAAGATGAATTGATTGAAGAAGATAATCATCTAGTCAGCAGTATCGATTGAGATATTTTTCTTAAAATTGCATGTAAAGGCAATGCATTGGGTTAAAATGTATGCTTTTGATGGAAGATTCGCTAAGCTAGAAAAGGATTGCTTACAGTTCGGTGACTCCAATTTAACCTTCTTGCTGCTGGGCTCAAAACCTTCGCTTTGCTCTTCTGCAGTCACCTCAGCCTCAGTCACAGCCTCAACCTTCTCTTCGTCGCCAGACGACTTTGTCGCTTCTGGCTTGTCGCCTTGGTAGAATTCACGCAGCACTGAATATAAATTAACAGAGATGCAACGTTGTTGCTGCTCGAAAGGCAATTTGAGAGCGAGTAGCGCCTGCTTCTGTGGCACATTGCCTGGATGCATATGGACCAGTGTTGCCTCTGTGCCAGCCCCCATAGAGTTTAGCATGGCTGCTGGAAGGAGGCCATTCGTGCCGCTCTCGTACAGCAGATAGTTGCCAAAACCAGATATGCCCGAGTAGGATATAATTTGTGAGAGCGTATCCACACGTATGCCCATTATTTTATCCGGATCCTGCCGATGGAATATGTCGGCCATTAGACGTATGGTGGGCTGGCGAATTTGGACAAACTCAAAATACTTCTTCTCCTTCTTCAGCAGATATTTATCCTGTGAGTATTCGGTGCGGGTGTGAAACGTTTTCGAGTTTTCCACTAGCTTCTCAATGATCTTGCTTGACTCGTTGCATTCCTCACGCATCTGCTCGATGTCCTGTAAGAATAAAAGCAGGCTAATACGGATTTACCATTCATTCATTTGCTGCCTCACTTACCGATGATTTCAGCGATTGTGCCTCGCCATTGTCGCTAATATCCCGGTTGTCGGCTCCGCTGCTAGAAATATTGAGCACGTCTCTAATACTTCGTAATTCATTTTCGGTGCACAGCTCAAGACTGTGCTGTCGCTGTGCGCCACGTTTGCCCGCCTTCGACTCTTTTACACACATTTTAAATGTCGAGCCGTATGGCTGATCCAACAGTGATTTTAGCTCCAGGTGTTCCTTGCCTAACGTTGCTGTCGCATCGAGACTTCCAAATTTTTGCAATTTGGTATATTTTTGCCTTTGAATGACAATATAATCACCCAACTGAATAATCGCCATCGCGGATAAATCTATTCCGGCTAAGTCAACAGCAACAGGACAGCACGCTGCTTTTTACAAAAAATGAAGTTATCGATAACAATCAATCATCCCTGCAATCGGATAGATTAGTTCCGTCACTGACCAAACAGTGGTTCCGTGCATTTTATCACTGAACAAACAACAGTGGTTTTATCACTATTGTTATACAACTGCACTGACCAGAGAACACATAGACTAGACATGTAGACAGTGGTCAGTGACAACTGTTAAAATTTGCTTTTCCATTTTTATCATTCTAATAAAGAGTAATTGAGTTAAATCATTTCAAGTTCGGAGTTTCAAGTTCGGAGTTTTTATAGATGATATTAACAAAAACCCTGTTCGTTGAGTAAATCAAATAATATTTTCAACTGATAAAGCCATACAAAAGATTAAAGTGTTTATTTTTTTTTCCAGGTTAATATTTTGAATTAACCGGTCGGCTATCGACAATTAGGAAAAAGGTGGCAACGCTTTCCGAAAATACGAGTTATCTGTTTAGGTAAGCCACGCGATTATCATCAACATGCGTTTATAAATAAGCGCAATCTATTGACAGAGATTTCATAAATAACCGCTTCAAATTTTAATCTATCAGCAAAGAAGTGCCTTCTCTTGCCTTACATCGGAGGCCGACGTAACAGGCCCTGGACTTTGCTGCCTCTACTCGTTTGTGGAGTACTCGCATAACCTGTTGTCACCCCAGCAACTGCTAATTAAGAGTTGATTGGAGCCGCGCCTGTTGTTGAAAGCAATCAGCCGGAAAGAAAATAGAAAATAGAAAAAGAATACAAAGTAAAATGGTTGTCGGCAAAGGTGAAGAATCGCCTTTCATCGAAGGCAAACAGCCGGTGACCCTTAATCCCTCGTGGGAGTCGCAGATGAAATCGGATCCGAAAGGCAAATGCTCGACAGTATCCAAAATTGTATCGAATCTGCAGCCGCCAGTTGATAAATACAAGTTGGTCTTCTTCATATTTATGCTTCATGGATTGGGCACGCTAATGCCTTGGAATATGTTTATAACAGCGAAGTCGTATTTCGAGGATTTCAAGCTAGGTGAAAATTACACGATCAAAACTGAGGTTAACTATCGCGGCAACTTTATGCAGAATATAGGCTTTGCATCGCAAATTCCAAATGTTCTCTTCAACTGGATAAATATATTCATTAATTTTGGCGGTGATCTAACAACTCGCATTGTTTATAGCATTCTATTGGAAATCGTTATCCTTATAATAACCGTAGTGCTGGCCATGTTGGACTCATACGAGGTACGCACGTGGCTTACATGCAATATTTATATACAACTACATGTACAGCAATCCCATTTTTCTGTCTATTTTTAGTGGCCCGGCATATTTTTTTGGGCAACTATGACCTCAATTGTACTTATAAACATGGTAAGTATTGATATATAATGTATTGGGCACTCTGTCAGTAAAATTTGTGTAGCTTAGTTAAGAAGTGTAATACCCCAATCCAACAGAGTGCCCTACATAACATTAATTCGCATCTACAGTCTCGTCGGTATCGCTACGAACATATTGATTTACTTCTTTGAATTAATTGGCATTTAATCTTTAACCTCTGGAAGTCACAAAAAGAAATTGTTCTCCTCCTCCTCCAGCTGTTCTTCCTTCTACGATGCTAGAAGAAGAAAAACTACATCGACTTAACTGTGAGCCCTTTTCAAAAATATAAATAATTTATTTATAGAGTGAGTGACAAACATCGGAGCAATGCAATAACAACTTCAAAATTTCGATGAGGGTGTCTTAGTGCATATGCTCCAGGTCAGTCAACGGAATTAAGAGTTTTTTAAATCTAGTATACAAATCCATACACCGACTTCACTTCGTACAATTCAAGCGAAAGAATTGATGGATGCGAGTAAATCCGAACTTGACTTCATCGTATTAACCAATGGCATTTGCTCGTTATTCGTGTGAAACACTTCGGCCCATTTCTCATTGGTCAATAAACAAATACATATATAAATATCACATCATCTCACATGCAGGTCTCTCTTTTTCTCTCCTTCTCCCCCTCTATCAGTATACCGCTTTGTTTTGTCTTTTGAATCAATTAACTAATTTGTGATTTACTTTCATTCTTCTTGCAGTGCAATGGAATCTACCAGAGTACAATTTACGGACTTGTTGCAGCTCTGCCCCCAAAGTATACGGGTGCCGTTGTGCTGGGATCCAATATTAGCGGTTGCTTTGCCACAATTATGTCAATGCTGTGTGCGACGTTCTTCACTTCGATGCGTACATCGGCTATATATTATTTCGTGACTGCGATTTTGATTTTGCTCTTCTGTTTTGATACATATTTTGCACTGCCGTTGACCAAGTTCTATCGGCATTACGAAATGTTGAATAACGAAAAGAAATCGGACTCCCGATCTCAATTAAATGTTCCTTATTGGCAAATATTTAAGAAAGCCTCGCCACAGCTTTTTAACGTATTTTTCACCTTCTTTGTCACACTGGCTGTCTTCCCTGCCGTCCATTCGGACATTAAGGGATCCGATGATTTTATCATAGGCAGCAAATATTTCACGCTTGTCACCTGCTTCCTCACGTTCAATGTATTTGCCATGCTGGGCAGCCTCACCACATCTTGGGTACAGTGGCCCAAGCCCAAGTATCTTGTTGTTCCAGTTGTGCTCCGAGTTGTCTTCATACCCCTTCTACTGTTCTGCAACTACGTGCCGAAGGATATTGTAAGGACTCTGCCCGTTTATATAACAAATGAATGGGTATATTGGTTGATTGCGATAATAATGTCGTACAGCTCCGGCTATTTGAGTTCCTTGGGCATGATGTATGCACCAGGCACTGTTCATGCCAGATATCAAATAACCGCCGGTATGTTTGCCTCTGCCGTCCTTATCACGGGTATTTTCTCCGGCATAATGTTCTCCTATTTGAGTCCATTAATCATACAACTTTGAAATTTTGTTCTACTTCAACAAATGAAGAACATTTTCTTTTTTACAAATGTCATTAACCCAAATAGCAACTGGATATTATTAAAGAAGCCAACTAAATTTTTAATATTAATTATTGACTGTAATAAGCTCTACGTACAAAATAAACGAAATATCTTGAGTGTTACCAAGATAAAATACCTTACTAATAACCTATGAGAACTCATTCATTCATTCATGGGGACATATTTATTAAATTGAAATAAGTATTTTTTTTTAATTTCGCAACGATAAACAGTCTATGAAAGAGATAAGATCAAATATGATTAAAATAGAGAACTGAAACAAATGCTTCAATCGAGCAATATATTTAAGGTATAGACAATAAAACTCGTGGCGATAACGAGACAATGAAAATAAATATATAATTAGTTGTAGCAAAATATCATATCAATGAGACTGCGATTACTGTATGCACAACGAAATACTCTTCCATAAGATAAATTTACGTCCTAATAATAATTCATCTTATAAATCCTCATTAACCGTGGATATGGCTGCTTGTTCTATCTCAATATAGAGTCCTTAGATAGATTGCTACTTATCCAACAATATTCTATTTACCAAATGAAAGCGTATAGAAACTACTTTCATATGATCGTAAAATTAAAAAATGTTACAATTTTTTATTTCGGTTATAGAGTCGCTCAATTATCGATGGGTGACAATCGGAACCAGACATAGAAAGAAACTGTTGCACCAACCAATAATATATAATATAAAATTCCAAGAATGAAGTTTACGAAATTGCAGAATAGAGAATATAATGCTTTATGAGGTCTATTACGTCATTTTCGATTGGTTTCATTTTACATTTTTATAAAATCCTGAGTATTTACATTAGTTTTTTTTAGAGTTTTAAATAGGTTATAAAGTTTCTTATTGACATACCATACAAAATTATGCAGAAAGCTTTAAAAAAAAAAAAAAAATTAAAAATAGATAAATTAGTTTTTCTTTGGTTTTTACTATAGGGTTTTGCACAGTATATCTCACATCATTTGATTTTTATACTTTAAAAATAAATTTAAATTTGCAATCAATAGGATCAATGTATAAGAAAATTGTATTTCAAACTTTTGTTTTCTGAAATAACAAGATTGATTTAACATGATACGAATATTTAACAGTTTATTACAGTATTTATCTTGTCTTTTTGTCCCTTCGTTTTATAATTAAAAATCGACCAGAATAAATATTTTTAATTGCACTTTGACTTGGAATTACTATGGTAAAATCAAAAATCAATTTTTCAGCAATTATTGTTTGTAAAATTTGGAAAGGTTTTTTTAAATGTTTGGTTGTCGCTTTGCGAAATCTTTAATAAATCAGCACAGCTCATTGTGACCAGATAAGTTTCATCAAAGTAAGGCTGCACTGTAACTGCGTGCATGTCGCTTGCCAAAATTAGAATATCTAATCGCAAGGTTATAAAAATAACTTCAAAGTAGAAACATTCTATGCCCTATTTACATTTGTAAATGATTTTTAAGAGCTCACAGAACTGAGGAGAGGCGCGCGGACTCCGAGTTTCCAGTCCCGTCATCTGCTCTAGGGCTACTTCCACATCAACCACATTGCACATGATCGACTGCAGGCGCTTTGTGAATTTTGAGTCGGACGACGCAGCCAGTTGCCGTGTAGTGTCCATCATATCTCGCAAGTCCTCCGCCTTTACGCCGTGGTAGCTCACGACCAGCTCCCTGAGCGCCGGCAGCTGCTCGCCGATGTGAAATCCGAAGTCTTTTGCATCCGAGATGCCCAAACGCTGCAGGCGCAACAGTCTAGCTGTAGGCGCTTGCAGTATAGTTTGCTCTATATTATATCTATTGGCGGTGACGTCCAGTGTGGTTAACTGCAGCTGGGTGAGCATCTCAGCCAGGTGCGACGCCTCGATGGAGCACTCCCTTGCCACGAGCGTCTTCAGATTGTGCAGATCGACCATAAACTGGCCCGTTATATAGGCGCTCGATACGCTTAAGCTGTTCAGATGAGGACAGCTTTTGCTCACGATTTGTATCATGCTGTTGTTCATGTAGTCGTCCGTGACGCACAGCTCGCGCAGATTTGTGAGCTTCAAGCACAAATAGAATGCGAGCTCGGGTCGCAGCAAATGCCTCCCCAAATACGAGTCGAATGCCTTTTCGTGTACATTCCAGATGTACAGCTTCTCCATATGTGGGCTCGTCACCTCAAAGAAGAACATGTAGTCTTCCTTATTAAGTGGCTTCAACATGTCATCCGATACGGATACTTCACGATAGCGCGCTTTCCTCCACACAATCTCGCCCAGCAGCTGCTCATAGCGCATCGAGCTCCGTGCCATTGCAATCTGATCAGGCAGTGGCAGGTACTCCAGGATAATGCAGAGACAGTCGTCATTTAGCTCATCGATGTTCATTCTCATTAATCAAGCGACAAAAGAGAGCGAAGCACCTGAACGGCAATAGAACAACAAGATAACAGCTGTTACAAATAAGTGCCTGCTGTTTGCGTGCAGTGTGACCGTTTACTGGGAATAAGAATCATAACACAGCTGTGACGCAGTACAATGACAAACAGCTGTTGCAGTAAACTGCTTGTTGCATTGTGCAGGGTGACCGTTTGCTTGAAAAATATACTAAATAGTTACAAAAATACTAAAATTTATTTCAAATCAATGGGCGCAAAGTGTAATTGATCAAAAACTCATTATTTACCAACGTGAAATGTGGATATTAGTTTTTCGCAATGTATCTCTTGCTGTCCGTCCCTCTGATTGCTCGTATGAGTACATACCAATTCGCTGCTATTGAAGATATTGACGATATACTATACACTACTATGGTTGGACAGTCGGTAATGACCAAAGCCAAAAAAACGTTATCGCAGTACAGCAAAACCACGATATACAAGAGCATCCTAAGTCCTATCTGGAAATATGACCTACAAATATACGGCATTGCTTCATCAGCAAATTTGAACAAAATTAGAGTGGCCCAAGCAAAGGTTCTGAGGAGAATTTGTGATGACCATGGTACATGAGAATCCGAGACATCGAAAAGGATCTAAACGTTTCAAAGATGACATATTTCCTACAAGTATACGCTAGTACTTTAAACGGATTGACAGCCATACAACCATACATAATAACGAATGGGGGAAATGACAATAGACAGCGTTTGGGCCTTAAATATTCTGCACTTTTTTGTTTCTTTTTTTTTTTTTTGGATGAAATTGTATAAGGTAAAAAAATATAATATAATCTGATTATACTATACAAAAATGTCAATAAACAATTGATAATATGATAGACTACGATAAATTTAAATTAACAATTTATAGTCAAGTTAATTAAATATTGATTGCATCTATTTGCTCAGCACTCAATTCAGTTTATCCCAATTCGATGTAGTACGCAAAAGCAACAAATATGTGTGTCGCAATAAATAGTACAATTACCTTCTCACACACACTTTTGTTTGTGACATCCGCCTCGCAGGCTTCAGGCGGTATATTTAGAACATATTGATCACAAATGAATGTGGAGGAAAACGGCATCGATGGCGGTGAAAGAGAATTTCACTGTCATGACCAACAATTTCATTGTCCCAAAAAGGGCAGCAGAACTTTTATTGTCTGCCCCGACGCCTGCTGCCACGCCACGCCCCTCTATGCCTTGCATATCAATTAACATGTTGAGTGTATTTCCATGTTTAACTGTCACTTCTGTACGCATCATGCAGTCCCAGACCCGAACCCAAGCCCAAGCCTTCCGATTCCCAGACCCAAGCATGGAAAACGGAAGGGGGACTGGCTCGGCGTCAGCCCTCGCTTTGTCAGTTTTTGTCTGCGCAGCTCCCCTTCACATGATTTGTGCGTGACCATGCGAAATGTAAATTATTTACATGCGATGTAGCTGTTTCTGACCGTCTTTATATAAAGCATTAAACCCGCTGAAAAAAAAAAAATGGCCAAATGTTAACTAAGCGGGGAGCCCCTTCCTGGTCCACCATAGAGCAGGGTAAGGACCGCACATTGATTGGCATTTGGCCAGAGCCAACCAAATATAGCTTGTGTGCTCTGAATATTAGAACCAAAATTAATCGAGTCAGAGTCCGAGCGAATATTATGACTTTGAATATGAAGCTTTGCATAAATTAAACAGACAAATTCGAAAACACAACTTACAATGCTGTTGAAATATGAGTCCAATCTGAGTGGCAGAGATAAGTTATGTTTTGGAAAGAGAGCTGGAAGATTGAAAACTCGATCAATGACAGCGGTGTAGTTATTATTATAAATTTTCTCTGTAAGCTTGACTAATCTAAAATATGTATGTGCTATCATAATAAATCAAGAAAAATGTTATCCCTTACAGCTAGCCTTACAGCTAGAAACCCCAAATTGATTTTTTTTTTTGTTAATTATATATTCGGAAGGTCTTGGGTAAGAGCTTAAAACTTGGATTACCTCATGAGTTTCACAAAAAGAACTTTTAACGTTTTAAGTGTTGTGCACTCGGTAGTGCAAACTTTGGGTCTTTCGCACTGGACCTGATTATGTAACTCTGTGAAATGGCTTGAAGGGTCTTAGGAAAACTAATCGAACATGCTTTAAGCTGATCTACAAGGTATACGGCAGGGACTTTTTTATGGCGAATTCAAAAAAAGGATAAACTTTTATTTGTAATTTTTTATTAAAATATTATATTT